GCATAATCAGAAAAATATTGACCTTAATGTTGCTGCCTACAACTCCTAATGTTATAATACATTTGTTTTTCTTCTTTTTTTTTAAGACACGGTTGCACTCTGACACCTACGCTGGAGTGCAAACACAGCTCGCCGCAGCCTTTAACTCCTGGGCTCAAGTGATGCTCCCACTTTAGCCTCCTGAGTAGCTGGGACATGCCACATGTCTGGCTAGTTTCAAAAAATATTTTGTAGAGACAGGGTTTTGCCATGTTGCCCAGGCTGATCTTGAGTTCCTGGGCTCAAGCAATCCTCCTGCCTCAGCTTCCCAAGCTACTTTCTTTTTTTTTGTTCTCGCATAATTGAGATGATAGATGTCACAGTTTGTATTTTTTTGTCCTGTTTAACATGTCACAACCATTAATAATTTCCTCATATTATTGAAATCTGTTAAAATATTTAATGGTAGCGTGTTTTATCATATAACTCAACTGTTTTTAATATAATGAACATAAATGGATGGACACTGGGTGACTTTTCTGAATGAATGAACACAGGACTTCCTACACAGGACTGGCATTTAGAGCTGACAGTGTAGATGGACACATTGGTGGGAGAGCATCCTAGAAGCAGAAGACTGGCCGTCTATGTTAGATAATAAAAGTTCTTCATTATTCTTCCCCAACATTAAAAAAAAGTCAGCTGGGAGATTGTAGATGTCTTTTCCCTTCTACCTTCCCAAAAGGAGTCAATGATCAGCATAGGCTGAATACATTATAAGCGGGTTAACAAGTAAATTGCACAATAAAGGCTGAAGATCACAGAAACCCTGTGGGTGGAGGGAAGCTTTGCACTGCCCACTGCTGGAAGGACTGGTGAACATGTAGCATGACCTGAAAATGCCCAGAGTGGTGGTGGCCTGTGACAGTAGTTAACAGGTTTACAAATCTTAATATAAAATGTCTTAATATAGAGACGGCCATGTATATAGCTGAAGAATTGACCAGGATATGGGGAATCTTTTGGCAAGACAATTAGGCAATAGGCCACCAAAGCCTTTTAAAAGGCCATACACTTTGACACAGCAATTGGACTTGTGAGAATTCATTCTACGAAAAATAAATCCAAATGTTAACTACAGGAAAATTACTGCAATGGTAAGAAATAAGGAACAACAATGCACATCAATATTAGACTGGTTAAATAAATTATGTCATGTCCAAACAGCAAACGCAATATATCCATTAAAATGTTTTATATGTAAATGATGTTTACAGTATATGGTGGAAAAATAAAGAGCTTTTTGGAATTCTATATTCAAAACAAACTGAGAAATATACAGTCATTCATTGCATAATGATGGGGATGTGTTCTAAGAAATGCGTTGTAGGTGACTTCATCACTGTGTGATCATAGAGTGTATGTAGGCAAACCTAGATGGTATAGCTACATGGTACAGCCTATCGTTCCTAAGCTACAAGCCTGTATAGCCAGTTACTGTACTGAACACTGTAGGCATTCTAACACAATGGTTATGTATTTGTGTATCTAAACATAACTGAACACAGCAACAACATATGTTACTTGGGTGATGGATACACTAAAAGCTCGGAGATCGAGACCATCCTGGCTAACACAGTGAAACCCCGTCTCTACTAAAAAATACAAAAAACTAGCTGGGCGAGGTGGCGGGCGCCTGTAGTCCCAGCTACTCGGGAGGCTGAGGCAGGAGAATGGCGTAAACCTGGGAGGCGGAGCTTGCAGTGAGCTGAGATCCGGCCACTGCACTCCAGCCTGGGCGACAGAGCGAGACTCCGTCTCAAAAAGAAGAAAAAAAAAAAAAAAAAAAAAAAAGCTCTGACTTCACCACTATGCAATCTATAGATTTAACAAAATTGTACTTGTACCCCATAAATTTATACAAAATTTCTTTAAAAGATTAAAAAATGGTACATCTGTATAAGGCACTTAATGTGACTGGAGCTTGCAGGACTGGAAGTTGTTCTGGGTGAGTCAGTGGTGAGTGAAAGTAAAGGCCTAGAACATTACTGTGCAGTACTGTAGACTTTACACACACCCTACACTTAGGCTATACTAAATTTATTTTAAAAACAAACGGTGCCACAACGTTACAAGTTACATCATCACTAAGTGATAGGAATTTTTAAGCTCATACAGGACCACCACCATGTATGTCATCCATTGCTAACTGAAACACCGTTATATGTCTCAAAGTGTTGATAATGGTTTTCTTAGAATGTTGGGGAAATTGATAATTTTAATTATCTCAATTTGGCTTATTATATCTCTTTTCTGATTTTCACTCAAAGGAGTCATGTATATCTTACGTGATTTTTTTTTTTTTTTTTTTTTTTTTTTGAGATGGAGTCTCGCTCTCTCTCTCAGGCTGGAGTGTAGTGGCACAATCCCGGCTCACTGCAAGCTCCGCCTCCCAGGCTCAAGTGGTTCTCCTGCCTCAGCCTCCTGAGCAGCTGGGATTATAGGCATGTGCCACTGCGCCCGGCTAATTTTTGTATTTTTAGTAGAGACAGGGTTTTACCACGTTGCCCAGGCTGGTCTTGAACTCCTGACCTCAGGTGATCCACCTGCCTTGACCTCCCAAAGTGCTGGGATTACAGGTGTGAGCCACCTTGGTGCACAGCCTGTAAGGTTTTTTTTTGTTTTTTTTTTTAAGACAAAGTCGCACTCTGTTACCCAGGCTGGAGTGCAGTGGCGTGATCTTGGCTCACTGCAACCTCCGCCTCCCAGGTTCAAGCGATTCTCATGCCTCAGCCTCCTGAGTAGCTAGAATTACTGGCGTGCACCACCACACCCAGCTAATTTTTTTCTATTTTTAGTAGAGACAGGGCTTCACCATGTTGGACAGGCTAGTCTCAAACTCTTGACCTCAAGTGATCTGCCCACCTCAGCCTCCAAAAGTGCTGGGATTACAGGTGTGAGTCACCACACCTGGCTGTAATTTTTTTACATTAACAAACACTTTAGGCCAGGAGTGGTGACTCACAACCATAATCGCAGCACTTTGAGAAGCTGAAACGAGCAGATGACTTGAGACCAGGAGTTTGAGACCAGCCTGGCCAACATGGCAAAACCCTGTCTCTACCAAAAATACAAAAAAATTAACCAGGCATGGTGACACATGCCTGTAATCCCAGCTACTCGGGAGGCTGAGGCAGGAGAACTGCTTGAACCCAGGAGGCACAGATTGCAGTGAGCCAAGATCACACCACTGCATGCCAGCTTGGGTGATAGAGTGGGACTCTGTCTCAAAAAACACACCACTCTATATGCTGAAAAGATAATTATAAAAATGTAAACAGCATACTAGGATGTGTTTTGCACACACATCTGCAAAAACATGACAAGAGATAATATATTCACTATTTAAACAAAGCTCCATTGGCGAAATTGGTTAGCACATGGTACTTATATTTACTATTTTAAGAATTTAATTTATTCACAATAACATCAAGATCATAATAAATTAATAAAGCAAAAGAACAATTCAGAGGAAATTAAAACAGCAAAGAAAAATAGTCTAAGTGCAAAATATAACAATATGCTTATCCCTCTGTTAAATTGGAAACGGTTTTGTTGTTTAACATATTAGTGAAAATTTGAAATAGGCACCCTCAAATCCCATCCTACCATTTAATCTAGTAGTTTCACCTGAGATTACAGCCAAAAGAAATAATTTTAAATATGAAAAAACACATTAAGTAGATGTCCATTGCAATGTTGTAATAATATAGGAGATACAGTAGAATATAATTTGGGGATCTAAATGTATTAGAAGTGTTTCAAAAAGATTTTTTAGGTAAACATCAATTTTGGTATAGAACAATTTGCTAGAATGCAAAGTATGTGATAATGAGAATAATGAGTCACCTAGGCATCCCACCTCATGGAATCCCAAAAGGGTGGCAATCAATCATAAGGAACACATTCAAAAGGACTGTTAGAGGTTATTCTAATGTTGTGAAAATCTCATCAACTTCATGGGACAAAAGTTATTTACCAGCAAAAAGGGGATATTCCAGATATCAAAAAATGAAGGAAGAATGAGCATAAAAGATGAATAAGACAAAGCTGTTTTTCCAAAAAAGCTGCTGTACCATTTTCTATTTCAATGTCTGCAGATGCTGACAACAAACTCTGCTATGTTACTTACATTCCTTGATGTAGGCCCACACAGATTTCAAATACATAAAATTTCTACATATCTGCCACTGCATGATGCTTTTAAGCCATTTTTAAGGAAATAAGTGCTATTTCTACTAAAAGACTGAATGAGGAAAACATAGTCACCTAGAAACCCTTTTGAAATTAGGCAGAATTAAATGAGAATTGAGGTAAGTGTTAAGTAAGAATTAAACGAGGCAGTATGCTGCAATCACATAGGTTAAAAAAAAAAAACAAACCAAAAAAAACCTACCTATGAGAACAAAATATGTAGGAAAAAACAACAAAAACATTAGGAATCCATTCATTCATTCGTCAACACATATAAATTGAACACCTGTTACATACCAGGCACTGTGTTCAGCACAGAGAGATATAATTGCCATCCTGCGGTTTACATTCTAGCGGAGGGGAGAAACACGATATTTAAGTCAGCATGTGACTGGGGCTGACTCCTCTCTCCCTTTTTCCCTTTTTTCTTCTGTTTACTATCAACTAAGGTCATGAATGTTCACTTTAATGATATTCATTTTAAATGACTGAACTTTTCTCAGATTTTAAAATAAATCAACTATGCAAACTGATCATAATTTGTCAGGCTCATTTCCAATTCTAACATTCAGAAATAAAAGAGAGAGAGCTCTCTATAAATTGACCAGTGCCAGAAAAGTTTCCTAGAGAAGATCAGGACAATCTTTTTGTCATTTGTACAAAGCAGCTGTCATACCTTTTCAATTACCATGTGGATCCCAGTCTTCCGACACTGAATCTGCACATTTAGAGAATAAACCAGAATAAAAACACTGACAACACAGAGGTGTGAATAGTAATTATAATTAACCCTTTCTAAAAGAAAAGGTATATGTAATAGTACATAACAGAGTTAACAATTGTAACTCGTCTTTTTTTTTTTGCCTTTTTACTCAAAGCATAAACCAGAGACAATACGTTATACCAGATTAACATGCAACTTAAAAAGAGGTTAATGTACATATTAAGCATGGAAATTCACCAGTAAAATCTTATTTGTCATTTTACCCCAACTACCTTGACGTTATTCTTCCATTTCATAATCAACAAGGTTCTACTTCTGGTCACCTGATAAACACTTTGCATTCCTGGAGCTTGACATTTCAGTCAATTATGGACACAAGAACATTGTTATAAGTATAATGAAAAAACACATCTACAAAGTAGCTGACTGCGCTGCTTTCAATGAAGGTCCCCACTCCAACCTGTCCACTCCCTCCCTTTTCTCAGCACAAACATAAACATCCCCCAGTCATTCATGAAGCTGTGTTGTTAAAAAGGTCCTGAAGCATTATTTCCCTAGACACCCAACACATCAGTACTGACCAAATAAAAGCCACCCAGGCACTCTAAAATTGTTTTTCAAACATTCCTTGTGTGTAAAATTTTCCTAGCATACAGAGAAACACAAGTTCGCAAAATGATAAAAAGATGAGACAAAATTTCTGCCTCTTCTTGCATGCAAATCTTAAGTCAAAACCTTTTATTGTTTTGGAAATTCAAATACAAGAAACCAAAGATTTTCTTATTTGCTTGTCAATATGCATAGAGCTCAATTGGCAGGGATGGGGAGCAGAGCGGGGGAAGGTGTTATACAGAGATTAGGTGGAACCCATTTTTATCTAGGCTTCTCTAGGACAATATGATAAACAAGAAAGATTAATATCTACAAGAAGAATGTCATATTTAAAATCAATATGATTAGTAAAATGTATTTTAAGTACAAATTAAAATGATTAGTATACATTTCTCTCATCTCTAGCAACCAACAGAGCCCTCATTAGACATAGCTGCGTCCTCAATGCTGTATCCTGGACATTAGCCTAAAAAACATCTTTAAAAGTGCTTTGCAGGTATCACCTCATCTCATGGAACCACAGAGGGATGTAAGAAAAGGCTACTCCAATCTAAAGGACTATTTTCAAGCAAAAATAGAGGAATTCTGTGTATCATCAATGAAAGAAGTTTAGGGGAAGGGTATAGTACATATTACAATAATTTAAAATCATATGCACATTTTACTTCCCATGCACGATGATTTCTAACATGAAACAATGTAACTATACATAACTGAAAATACAATCAAGCTTTGCCCCAGAACTTACAGCCACACTCTACAGTCAGTTAAAAAAAAAAACCCTGGAAGAATATATGATAAATGTATTCAGATTCTATTAGTCTGATTTGTAAGTAGAATCTAAACAAAGAGGAGGAATTTGGGCACTTATGCACATGCACAAATGGCTCAACATCTAAATGACACGATGCAAAATCACCACCATGAGAATCAAGAGGCTACTCGTATGCAAGCAACAAACTTTTACTTATGATTTCAAACATACAGTTTAATATTCTGTTAAAATTGTTTTTTAAAAAACAGTAGTAGGGTTCAGTTTTCTAGTCTCGGCATGAACTAATGCCAGGGACATGACTATTTGTATTAGGAAAGAGACAAAATGGTGTGGCTTGTGCTTCATTACGTCATGGTTTGTTGAGGGTTAGGTGAGTGTCTTCAATTTCAAGACTTTTTATTCAGGCCAGGCACAGTGGCTCACGCCTGTAATTCCAGCACTTTGGGAGGCCAAGGCAGGCGAATCACGAGGTCAGCAGATCGAGACCATCCTGGCTAACATGGTGAAACCTTGTCTCTACTAAAAATACAAAAAAATTAGCCGGGCGTGGTGGCAGGCACCTGTAGTCCCAGCTACTTGGCAGGCTGAGGCAGGAGAATGGCGTGAACCGGGGAGGTGAAGGTTGCAGTGAACCGAGATCACGCCACTGCAGTCCAGCATGGGCGACAGAGTAAGACAATGTCTCAAAAAAAAAAAAAAAAGAAAAAGAAAAAAAAGACTTTTTATTCAAATAAAGCACAAATTGTGACAGAAACCCTCTAGGCTATGTCATCAGTTAAGACAAGCACATACGATACCATAGAAAATACATATAATTTATTAGATGGGCTTAAAATCAACCCAAGTCCATTTTTAGGCACTTCTTGAGTACAGACTATGGGAATTTTTTACCAAAGAACGGGATGTCTAGCAGGTAACAGCATAAAGATTTAAACTTTAGTTTTCAGAACAATACACAAGGGCTAGACAATTGATAAGAAATACTGCATAACCAATCCAAGTGTATCCTGGAACATTTCTTCCCAATTTGACAGGGCTTTAGGGTTAACTAGAAAGTTACTTTTTAGCATCCAAAATTCTAATTTCTGGCTTTCTTTCCTTTTTACTCTATTATCATGGTCTTAAAATAAAGTATCATACATTCTTCGAGGGAACATGATATAGAAGTTTTATTTTTGTATAAGTGGAGCTTTAAAGACGTATTTCTTTATCTCTATTTACAGTCAATGCATGACAAGTGATTATTTTGATGTCTTTTAAAGCCCATTTAAACAGGTTTATTTTGTAAGGACAGGCTTTTCATTACTCACTCCTTTAGACATCTAATGTTTATCTCTATTTTGTAAGTAAACATGAACTAAAAAATGGGATGTGGGCAATAGCTTCAAGAATGCCCTTAGGTTATAGGCTATATATAAATTTGGTTTGGCATCTTTTTCCAACTCAAACTGAACTGGTATTCTGTGAAACATAACCATTCTTGGTAGTGGGAAGATAATACACAAAACTTAATCCTGCCCATGCCTAACTAGTAACTCAAGGAAGTGGCAGAGTCTGGGTATTTCTCCTAAGTTTCTGAATCTACTTCCCAACATGTGAAGTTAAATTAAGAAGCATGAAAATGTTAAATATAAAGAATTATAATATTGGCATCTATATGCTATTCACACTGCAAGCTGGTCTTCTGATGGACTCCACATCTCTGATAATGCTCTCTAATGAGCAAGGTCCAAATCACTGCCTCAAGTCAGTGGTGAGAAGATAGCAAGGAACTAGAAAAGCTGCATAGAAACTACTGGTTTGGAAACCATTGTCTACAGCAATGGTTATAGAGAAAGTTTAAAGTAACCTCCAGGACAGAGATATCTTCACTGAGAGTAAATGAAGACACAGGAGAGAAGGGGATACCTGAGCTATGGGGAAGCTGATCTTGAAAGCAAGGAGATCCAGATTACATTTGGAGAGTGTGAGGGGTCAAAGTTACATGGAGAAACTTGTCTCTTCCCAGCCTTGAAAAAGGGATTGATGACAAGATATAACTGGGCAATTGAGAGAAGACTGGAGTTTGGAGATAACCGATGATGTGGTACTATCTCCTGTATACAAAGCAGAGCCTATTATACATACATTCCCAAAAATGCCTGCAGAGAAATCTAGAAAGTTGTCTATAGTTTTTCTATTTACACTAATATAAACAGGTTTTGTGGTTGTCCGTACTGTATGTGGTTGCTGTAGTGACAGCAAGAAACATAAAGTGCCTATACAAGAGGGGACAATAGAGTCATGTTTCTAGGCATCTTAATACTATATACTGAGACAAAAAGGAAAAGAAAGTCAGGGACTTCATGCCTTTGCTCAAGCTCTGTGCACTTCTCTAGGTCTCAAATGACCTACTAGGCACTTTTTAAGGCCAGAAAATAAAAACTCTTCTTCCCTCTATTTCATCCCATGCTTCTAAAGTCATTTTCACTACCTATATTAAAAATGCCAGTCAGCAGCGCTAAAACACTTATATTCTTAAGGCAAAATGTCATATAAGAAAATGAATCCCCTATCCACTTCCCCACTATAACCCCTAAGCCACCTGCCTTCGTTGTATGCTTTGCCCATTATGAGGACCAAGATGTACTGGGAAGATAAAAAAGAAGTGAAAATTTCAAACAAGAACCCTCTATATAATGTGTAAGATACACTTTCACAGATGCTATTATGACAAAATTAAACATATTCAAATGCTTATAGCATATGGTTACTTTTGCCCAGATATCAAAAGAAGTTAAATAACTTTCAAAATTAGTATCAAAAACAGGATATTTAAATCCAACCACATGTACAGAAGTATGAATCTTTGTTCTTCTCAGAGCTGAACACAATGACTCCACGAGATGTTTTCACTCAAAAGTGGCATGTTAAAAACCCAAAAGCATCTCCCTTTGCTTAATTCCACTTAAACTACATACCAATTGCCAATATGACTTTTCACCAGCCTCTCCATCTTATCTGAAAATAATACTGTTAAAATGATTTTGACATTTTCATATATAAATTTATTTCTTCCCAACTATAATTTTGGTTTTATGTACAAGTACACAAATACCACCTTATTTTTAATGTTTACCTTGAAGGGTAGAAAACAAAATCATATTTTATAAATGTGGTATAAAATTACACATCTTCTCATGATGTCAAGTCAATAATCCACTAAACCAACTGTAACAAGGTAGTGCATGCTTTAAACATCCAATTAAGAATAAATCTGAGCCAATCTCTTGATGACAAGGTAATGTGCTGATACTGTGTTAAACTGATGTGGCAGTAATCCAAGGGACTAAGCACATGATTATTCAAATTAAAAAATAAAAAGGACAAAAGGTGCGGATTTTCTGGGCTACATCACAGAATATTTGTCTGGTGAAACCGTAATACAGATTTGGGGGAAGGAGATTTTTAATTGATAACAAGTAATTCTTTATAGTGATTTGAAAAAGTATGAGAACATATGAGAAAAGCTTAGTAATTTAAGATTTACTTTTGTAAAACCATGTGGACAAAGATTAAATGTTATGCTTGCATTTTGAACATTATAAATATAAAATACAAAACATCAATGTTAAATACTGATCTCCCATGCCTGACCTGGATTTAGATATTGAGTATTTCCCATTTTAAAGAAAGAAAACTTTCAAAGTTTTGTCAATATTTAAAGTATATACTATTATTCCTCACCAAAATCTTCATGAAACTTAAAAGGCTGATATTAAAAGTAGTTTTTTTTTTTTCTTAAATATGCTAAAACAAGTGAGTTTGGATTAACCTTCAGATTTTCAAGGCATGAAAGATACATAGAGATAGAGTATCCCAGAATATGTTTTAACACATTTAGGATAAGTTTGTTTACAATTGTGACAGGAATACCTCTAACTTTCAGACATTGAAAAAAATACCCTAAGCAAACAGAGAGGGTGTTTTGGGTCAAGTTACTTCTTAGTACAAATAATACATGGTAGCAATCAATTTTTAAACCAAATTCTTAAAATCATTCAAAAAACACTTGCAGTTTATAATTGTCAATGCATTTATGTAATAGATACAACAAAATTTAGAAATAAAAAATCTCACACTATATTCCAAGTACCAAAATAAGAAGAAATTGACAAATTAAGAAATTATCAATGTTGCTCAGAAACATGCCTTTTACTCTGAAATTCACTTTAACTCCTTGACATATAATTTAATGCTTAAAAATAATATAGCTAAGTTTTTTAATAGTATTTATAGAATATTACTTTTCTGGGTAGACATGTTTCACACAACAGTTTTCAATGAATGCTGAGCATTCATTTGATAATTTTAATCATAATTTGATTCACTGATTAATGGATTAATAATTTATTCAGTAATTTAGATGCCATAAGAACCACTGAAAGGAATAATCTGATAGTTGCTCATTGTACAATCCTGCCCATTAGTAATACTAAGCCAAGAATCTGATAGCTATCCCACTCTGTTGAATTATGTGTTTCCATGTTTGTGATTTTGGTCAACAACAAAAAATCAATACGCAATGTCATGCTTTTTCCTTTTCCTTTTTTTTTTTAAATAAGCAGCTCAATGATTTGGGAGGTTGGTTAGTACAATACAGAGAACATAGAGAGAAAGTATAAAATGGCACTGAACACCAATGCCAATACTTATCTCATTATGGTTATAACGAAGGATATTATTAATATTTGTGTTATTTTTCTCTGGAACATAAATCAATGCCATTAACTTGAACTTGAGGTATATACACAATACACACACAACCTTAAGCAAAATACTTTTCATAAGTAACATTACATTTTAAAATATTGGAAACTGAGTATCTGTGCTGATTTGTATTTTGACTTAATGGAACAAGAAGAAAACAACATTCAACTAGGGAGGGTTATACTGATAATAAAGCTCTTAAAATTCAAAATGTCTTCCTCTCCCTTTGTACTTACCACAGGCTACACAATGTCCTGAGAGGATTCATTATGAGAAAAACGTCAATCACAGCTTTAATAACTTACTTTGGAAAAAACTAATAAGAAAGTAAATTGGAAGGTGAGACTTCATCTTTGTTTTCAAATAAGTGGTCTTAATTTTTCTTCTTATAGAAAAAGTTTAAATCAGTTTATTATAAATATATCTAAACCATTAATTTTTGCAGCTTTCAGGTAAAGTCCAGCACTTCATTTATACAAAGTCTATGAGAAGAGGTCAGTAGAGATCATCTAATCTTAAGTCGTGACATCATCCATTCAAGTCCTTGGCACAACCTATAAAGAAAACAAAATCATTTGATTAAATTCTGAACTAAGAAGCTATGAACAGCAAACTAAAAGGCAGTATTTTTCATTTAGCTAAATAACAAAGATTTAAAAATCAATAATATTCAGTGCTTGGGCTGCTGCAGTGAAGCCATATTCTCATACATAATCCATCTGTGCTTTTTTTGTCTTTCCTCTTTTTAAGACAGGGTCTCCCTCTGTCACCCAGACTGGAGTGCAATGGCACAATCAATGGCAGCCATGACCTCTGGGCTCAAGCGATCTCCCCACCTCAGCCCCCCAGTAGCGGGGAGTAAAGGCGTGTGCCACCACGCCCAGCTAATACATCTGTGCTCTTTTGGTTCCGTTATATCTCTAGACCCTGGAATGCTGTCTGACACTTTTAAAAAGCTTTATAATTATACAATGAGTGCCCACAGAAAGCAACATATGTCAAAAATATATCTGGCAATATGTATCAAAAATATTTAAAATATCAATACTCTGAATCTTTTTCTACTTCCAGAAATGTATCCTAAAAAAGAAAATCAGACATAAACATAGACTTACATACAAAACTGTTCATTAAAGTACTTTTAATAGAAAAATAACTTCTGTCTAGAAATACAGAAAACAAATAAATTACAAGACATTTGTATGATGAAATATTTAAAATTTTCCTTTCAAAAATGATTTCATAATTCTCATCACCAGGAAATGGAGGAAATAAAACCATTTTATAATAGGATAAAATGCTCATGATATAAATGACAAATGGCAGAATATTAAACAAAATATATATTTTGTAGTTATTAAAACAAAGTATACACATAATATGTTATATAAATATTATAAAATGTAAGTATATAAAACTTTTGAAGGCAATAAAATTTCATATTGGTAACATCAGTTATCACTGAACAACTGGTAATTGAACATAACCCAAAATACAGAAAAGGATGTTCATTCTGGTAAAAGAAACTAAAAGTTCAGCAAAAGAGAAATGGTTATACACATTAAGTTACAATAAAATGAAGAACTGTTAATAAGTATTATCTATGACAAGCTTTTGTAGACACAAAAAACTATGTTACAATATACATTTTTTTCAATTCAGATTTTTGTTAAGTATGAGTCTAATAATGTAAAAGAAGACACAAATAGAAAAAAGACAGCAATGAGGTAAATAGATGGTTGTTTTGGGGTGGTTGTCCCATGCTTTTCTCCTGGGACTGGATTCATTACTTTTAAACTACTGACAGGAAATAGTACATAAAAATAATAGATGAAGAGACTGTTTAACTCCAAACTGATAAATGAACAGTAGTTACCTAATAGCAAACTAGAAACTGACTTAACATCCATTCTCTTAATTAATCTTTACAACACTGAGATTAGAATCCTTCCAATGTTACAGAGGAAATCCAGGTTGGCAATGTTAGCAAATGGGAAAAGTGGGAGTCAAATGAAGTCACACACCGAAGTTTGTGATCTCCAATTCACTGAATCAAAACGCTAATGCATACTAAAACCAATAATTTAGATCAAGGCAGCTGAACTATAAAAGAAAAACAGAACATTTCTCTCAAAACCAAACTCATCTATTACCTTCCTATTTTTAAAACAAAATTGTTTTACCTCTTTTTAAAATGAAATTGAGTTCATACTAATGATACATTTTCCATACAATTATCAAAGTATATAAATTAAATCTATGTCAATCCTAGATGACTTGTCTTTATTGCCAAATATTATAAATCCATGCTTTTGCTTGACAAAGATATATATACTAAACTATTTGACTAAGAAATATTTAACATATTTTTACTTAAATGAATACATGGATAATTGGTATTATCTGTGATTTTTTTTTTTTTTTTTTTTTTTGAGGCGGAGTCTCGCTCTGTAGCCCGGGCTGGAGTGCAGTGGCCGGATCTCAGCTCACTGCAAGCTTCGGTTTACGCCATTCTCCTGCCTCAGCCTCCCGAGTAGCTGGGACTACAGGCGCCCGCCACCTTGCCCGGCTAGTTTTTTGTATTTTTTAGTAGAGACGGGGTTTCACGGTGTTCGCCAGGATGGTCTCGATCTCCTGACCTCGTGATCCACCCGTCTCAGCCTCCCAAAGTGCTGGGATTACAGGCTTGAGCCACCGCGCCCGGCCTATCTGTGATTTTTTTAACGAACAGGTTTTTTTTTAAATTAAAAAACCTTTTTTAAGGTTCTAATTATGCTCTTCCAAATGTCAGTAATAGTGCCTTCTATTAAGATTTGGCTTCAATAATTCATTATATTTGGTTTACCCTTCATCTTGGTCTTGAAAGCAAAACGATTTCTCCCACTTGAGTAAATTCGTCTATACCCCACGCTTTTGTCCTTTTCTAAAACCTCAAGAACTCCAAACTTAAGACCTCTATTTAGAATCCTTTATCGCTTATTTCTTTTTTCCTCTGCTTTTAAATGCAATCATGCATCATTTAATGACAGGGATACATTCTGAGAAACGTGTCAGGTGATTTCATCACTGTGTGAACATCACAGAGTGTACTTACACAAACCTAGATGGTACAGTCTAGTATGCACCTAGGCTCCGTGCTATACAGCCTGGTGCTCCCAGGCTACACATCTACATAGCATGTTACTGTACTAAATTCTGTAGATGACCATAACCCAATAGTAAGAACTTTTGTACTGAAACGTATCTAAAAATAGAACAGGTTATTGTAAACATACAGTATTTTAATTTTATGGGACCACCGTCATATATGTGGTCTATCACTGACCAAAACATCATTATAGGGTGAATGACTGTATATACAGATCCACCATATTTTGGAAAAACAACAACAAAAATTGTACTCTATTTTTATCCTTCTTTTGGCTTTTTATCCTATTTCCAACCTCCTCTATTTCATCTGCCACACTCAAGAGTTTACAAAGCTATTTTTGCTTCCTAAAATCTACCTCCTCTTTAAACTACACTTACCTTATGCCCACTTTCCCAATGCACAGAATTTGTTCTGACAAAATGGTTGAATATATTCATTTGTTGTTAATTCAGTGGCATCCTCCATCTCCTGGTCCTTGATCTTAGATTTGACAATGCCGACCACACCACTTCCTTCTTGAAATACTTTCAACTGTGGGCACTAGACAGGGCAAATTTCTACTCTAGGCACACAGTTCTCTTCCAACACCTATCATTCCAGAACCAAGGACCATCACTGCTACACTCTCTCCAATTCCCTCAATCCTTCTTTTGTTTAAGTGCATCAGTTCCAACAGTCAGTAACCCCAAAGTAGTCTCAGACATGAATTATCTTTGACTTGAGCTTCTTTATGCATAAAATATCACTTACAAACAATTACTCTGTAGGACTGTTATGGGGATTAAATGAAGCACTATATGGAAAGCACTCCAGACACAGGACATGCTCAGCAAGTGTCAGGTCTTCAGTTTCACTATCATCGTAAAATGTATTTCCTAACTTCTCCAGCTCTCACTGATACTCCTGTTTCTCTGAGCTCCTACAGCAATTTTAACAGCTACATGCTTACATGTTCAGTAGGTTTATGTGTATTATGTTTACGTTGTTTTACTATTTACAGAACCACCCTAAAAAGTCTCTGATTATAGACATGAACTACAGCTTACGTCTGTCCCTTACGATGTTTTGTACACAATAGCCTTAAATATTTAGGAGTTTAAAGAAGATATACATGTTTCTAAGCAAAATACAAGTTCGATAACATCTAAGAGGAAGACTTCTTACCCCTCGCCAGTTAGAGCACAGCATGCCTGGATATGCCACTGGTGATCTTTAATAGAAGTTAGCTTCAAAAACTGGGAGATTTCTGCTACAGTCATGCATTCTTTAACATCTTGTTTATTAGCAAAAATCAGCAATCCAGCTTTTCTTAGGTCCTATTAAAGCAAATAAAACTTTAAAGGCCAATACATTTTCCACATATTTTTCAACTTAATTAACAGAATCTTTTTCACAATCTTAGTAAACAAGAATTTCTCAACTATGTGACATAAAAGCATCTCATAGCGCATAGGCTGATAACACATTTTTTATACTTGTATGTGTTTACATATTTCTTGTAGTCTTAGACTACCATTTTTTATGGTCCTAAGTGCTGTATTTAACAGTCATGTTTTCCAGCATACATACTACCCACCCCCTAAATCCAAAATTAGGCTTAAATGGCAAAGAACTACCTTTTAGCCTAATACTTGAGAGCTCTCCAAAATTCTACCTTGCCTATACTTTTCTGTTTTACCTTACATCACTCCCATATAAGTCCTCTGCTGTAATTAGCAACCTATCCTACTGCTCTCTACACAGTTTTGGGCACTGCCATCTCTATGTTGTTCAAATCATTTCTCTTGTGTATATTTCCTTCCCTCCAACCTCCTAAACCAGCCTTTCCCAATCATGATTCCACAAGAGAATTAAGCTCCACAGAAAATGATGAATGACTACATTGCAAATCTTCCAGTAACATACATAGCTAGTACCTTCTAGCTGCATAGGAAATAAATGAATTCATTACAATATATGCCTTAAAGCTTAGGGCTTAATTCTCAGTTGAAGTTCTATCCTAAACCAATCCTATTCACCCTAATTTCTGTCACTGTACATGAAGATTTCTTAGATTTGAATATGTAATATGGCCATCTTGGAGTGGCATTAAACTTACCAAGTTTCCCCAATAAGAAGTTCTATCGCTTCAATGCTATGACTCAGAGGCAAGTTCTTTAGGCTTTCTGAATTTATTCCTCATTATCTTTTGAGTATCTGATCTGAGCAAAACACCCACTGCATAAACCCTTTTCCAAATGTAATTGTGCACACTCCAAATAACAGGTATAATGTTTTACTCACAAAATAGGCCACAGGTTCTTAGTCTTTTCCTGCCCCACTCCTCTCTACCTGCCAGTTTTAAAGCTAGGGACTTCCTTGACAATCTGTTTAAAATCACAGACCTTTCCCCTGAAAACGCACATATGCATATATACAAAAATTTTTAAAGTTTATGTACAATTTTAGGGTGTTAATAAATATCCTAAATTCCCTACATGGATACTGGGCCAAGAATCCATGAAGGATGTACTCAATTCGCAAATGAAATTCTCATAAAATTCTGTTATATATTGAGAGATATAAAATTAAGGTTTTGGTGCCACACTTGCAAGTTTTCACAACTGTTGAATGGCATCTGTCTTCTTAGGGATTTTACTGAGATATTTTGGTTTTAATAATGTGTGTATGTGTTTGAATCAATAAAATCTTCAGCAGATACAAAATGACTCTTGTTAGAATATAGTTTTGATGATTCTGATGCAAATAAAAACATTAGTAGTATATTTGTATTTTTCATTTGGTTAAAGGAGTTACATAAAACATTTTATATAGCAATCAAGACTAGGCCAGGCCCGTTGGCTCACGCCTGTAATTCCAGCACTTTGGGAGGCCGAGGCGAGCGGATCACAAAGTCAGGAGATCGAGACCATCCTGGGTAACACAGTGAAACCCCATGTCTACTAAAAATACAAAAAAAATTAGCCGGGCGTGGTGGTGGGCACCTGTAGTCCCAGCTACTTGGGAGGCTGAGGCAGGAGAATGGCGTCAACCCAGGAGGTGGAGCTTACAGTGAGCTGAGATCACACCACTGCACTCCAGCCTGGGCGACAGAGCTAGACTCCATATTTAAAAAAAAAAAAAAAAAAAAAAATCAGGACTGACTTTAATTACAGTGCCCTCTGCAGGATGGCAGCTAGTAATGCTACCACAGTTTATACAGTTATCTGAATAAGTATGGTCAGAAAGGAACACTGCTACAATGTTCACAATTGAGATAAAGTGTAACTTGTATACATATAGTTATTATCAAGGATATACAGTAAATATTTTTTCTTTTCTCCTAAACAGAAAATGAAACCATTAATCAGCTGGGCGTGGTGTCTCACACCGGTAATCCCAGCACTTTGGAAGGCCAAGGTGGGGGATATCTTGAAGCCAGAAGTTTGAAACCAGCCTGGCCAACAGGGCGAAACCCCGTTTCAACTGAAAACATAAAAATCAGCAAGGTGTAGTGGTGTACACCTGTACTCTCAGCTACTTGGGAGGCTGAGTGATGAAAATCGCTTGAACCCAGGAGGTGGAGGATGCAGTGAGCCAAGATAGTGTTGCTGCACTCCAGCCTGGGTGACAGAGTAAGACTCTGTCTCAAAAAAACACAAATAAAAGAAACCATTATCAATAGTTGTTATGTGGCTGAGTCAATAAGTAGATGGACTTTCCATGGGATTTAATTCCTATCTTTCTATCTTCTCAGTTTCAGTATGTCTTGCTAGTGTGTGCTGAAGTCTTATATAGGTCAAGTTTGCTAACGTTGACATGTTGAAAGAACAACCTTCTGACAAATACTTGGCACAAGTTACGACACATAGTTTATATTATTATAAGTAATTTGTATTCATTCTTAATGATGAAATTATTTGTAGAAGCCCCTAAACTGAAAATTGAAAAATACAAAAAACAAAGCCATTTAATAAAAGGTCTCCAAATACCTTAAATCAATTTTTCTAGATCTCAAAGTTTCAAACTTTAGAGTTCTTGACTTTTAAGAAGTTATTTTATCAATTTTTAAATATTTAGAAAGAGAAGAAAATCTTCATTTGCTTTCTATTATATAACCCCAAAACCAAATATGTATACATTAGAACAGTAGAAAACAGATATATTAAATTAAGGCTGTTCATCAACTCGACTTAACAAGGGGTCAAAGTATAAGGTGAACAATGGTGATCTTTTGTACATAAGCCATTTCAAACACTTTAAAACCATTTCTGCTACAAATTTTTAGTCTAAGATATATTTTAGTTTTATCAAGGAGATGAATAACAGCAATTGCAAGACATATTTACTTAGCATCTTCTATATACCATACATAGTTGTCAATTTGTTTCTTAAAACTTCATTTGGGGGCTGGGCGCAGTGGCTCACGCCTGTAATCCCAGCACTTTGGGAGGCTGCGGTGGGCAAATCACTTGAGATCAGGAGTTTGAGACCAGCCTGGCCAACAAGGTGAAACCTCGTCTCTACTAAAAATATTAAAAAATTAGCTGGGTGTGGTGGTGGGCGCCTGTAATCTCAGCTACTCGGGAGGCTGAGGCAGAAGAATTGCTCGAACCCAGAAGACGGAGGTTGCAGTGAGCCGATACGGTGCCACTGCACTCTGGCCTGGGCAACAGAGTGACACTCCGTAACAAAACAACAACAACAACAACAACAACAGCAAAAACACTTCATTTGTGAAGGTAACTCCTAGAAGTTGAGTCACTCTGAATAAAATTTCAGACTTTGGTGTTTGGAACCATTTTAAAATTAATGAGTTTTAAAGTTGAACACTTCATTTATGATAAAACTTTGAAAATTATTTTAAAATTTTTAGTTTTGTATTTTGCAATAATGTAAAGAATTGTTATCAGCAATGACAATAAGATTTTGTTGGTTTATGTAGTATGTATGAAACATCCAAGTAACATCATGTCTACATTTATTTTTCACTCACACATTCTCACTCTTTGATCCATTTGTCTCTCTCCAGAACTCTGCCTGTTTGGCTCTTCTTGACCCTACTGAGTAGCTTGCTCAAACTCCCAACTTCATCTGTAATTCCTTTCTTCTCTGGTCATCTCCCCATTCAGTCTCCTTTCACTTTCCAACTAGGCCCTACTTATGTCTTCTTTTTTCTTCTGCTAATAAAGAGTCTGAATGAGAATACTCAAGTTCAAAACCTAGATCTTAAAAAGCTAGTCAAGTCACATAACCTTTCTGGGCCCCAGTGTACTCACCCATAACAGATAAGGTTAAGTGACCTATGTAAGTTAATGCCCTCAGCTAGTAAAAATCAAAGACTTTGAACCCTGCTACTGGGCTCTTCATATACTGATCCTGCTGCATATTGGCCAATTAGAGTAAAAATCAGATAGGGTGACTACCTGTTAACAAAGTAAAAGATATAGCCCAGAGACAAATAACATTTGCATCTATTTTCCTTTTTCCAAACTCTTCATAAAACCACCCTTTGGAATAAACTGAAAAATGCTGCATTTTTGCAAAATATGAAGTTGAAAAGAAAAAAAAAACACAAAAAACCTTTGTCTTCTGCCTCTGTTATGGCTTATTGCTTGTATCCCAACTAGAAATGGAATTTGGCAAATGAACACAGAATGGCAAGATGTATTTCTGTAAACCTCCACGAGGTTTAAACACAGCTGCCGGAATTAAGAGTCCAAAATAGGAAAAGGTGCATCTTAGTGGTCATAAGGAAACGAGGAACCTCAACTTACAAAACTACTTTACTAGGTTTGGTTCCCTAAAGCCCTGAAAGGTTGCCTGAAATACACAAAATTCTTAAAGCAAATCTCAAAAGCAGATCATCAAATCAATAATAAAATTAACATAAAACTTTACTACAAAGATACTCGTTTTCCTAAGCTTTGCAAAACATTCCACTGAAATAAAAAAAACTCTACATATCTAAATATTTTTTCTATTCCTATCTATAAATGAGTTGAGAAAGTAGCTTCTGCAATATCCAAAAATACTCAATTTTACTAAATACTATATAAACACTATATTATAGTTATGAAGTTGACTATATTATTGTTTTTTAAACTTACATTATCGTAATATTTTTCTATTTAAAAAACTTAATTTTTAAATCTATTTTTATTTCTACTTATTTATTTTTAATTTAATTTTATTTTTTGAGACAGGGTCTCACTCTGTCATTTAGGCTGGAGTGCACTGGCAAGAACAGCTCACTGTAGCCTTGACCTCCTGGGCTCAAGCAATCCACTTGCTTCAGTCTCTCAAGTAGCTGGGACTACAGGTGCATGCCACCACACCTGGCTAATTTTGTTTATTTTTCGTAGAGATGGGGTCTTGCCATGTTGCTCAGCTGGTCTTGAACTCCTGGGTTCAAGTGATCCTCCCACCTCCGTCTCCTAAAGTGCTGTGATTACAGGAGTGAGCCACTGTGCCCGGCCGGTATTTTTCAAGGACTAAGAAAATGTGGCTAGTCATCTAGTTTTGTTTAGTCAAAGGGACAGTATTAGAGAAATCTAACAGCAATTACATTTAAATATTAGTCTGCTGAGTAACAATCAAGAATTGCTAAGCACACAGGTACTTTAAAATCTCATTTCCAATGATAATCCTCTGTATAATTAATCTATTCAAAATGCAAAATGAAAGCCACTTATACCACTTACTTTTGCCCAGGAAAATTGTGAAACCAAATGTATCTAGGATAACTGAAATAAAGTTCTGCAACTTACTTCATAATCTTTCTGCTGCTTCCAGATACATTCCAAATTGGGAGATGTCAAAATAATCAAGCAGGCGTGGCCAGCAAATAACTAATTATTTTTAAAAATTTAAAATTGATAGCACCCTCATGAGAAACTAGAAAACAAAATAGCGATTCACATACCCTTCCCCATATCTAATGTAAAAAGACTACTTACTTACCTCATGCGCTAACATTTTATAGAGCTCTTCTCTAGTTACAGAAATCCTCTCTCTGTCTGTACTGTCCACAACAACTATTACAAACTAAAATAATTACAAAAAAATTATTAGTGATTACATAATTTGGTATCTGTAAAATTTATAATGTGTTTATTTGATATACAGGCTATTAATATCAAGAAATTGGAATCTTATGGTATTGTTGGAAAATCAGAGCTACCTATACATTGTGAAGCCAAAAGGTCTGATCGATTTTAATATATTTACTAATTTTTAGAGAAAAGAGAATATATGATACTAACATTCCAACTAATATATATAACGCATGTCTGTTTTCAGTATCTTGAATGCTAATGGGCCTATATCCATCTATTTGCACTACAAATCAGTAAGAAAAACATACAATATGATCCTGAATTTATTACTTCCAGGTAGATATTATTTGTTAATATCAATCTGAAATCCTAAAAGGGCATGGGTATGGGGGTAAAGTAATGTGACAGTTAAAGAAATCAATTAAAAAAAAAAATCAACCAACTGCAAGAATAAATCTCTATCTAAAAACAAGCTCTCTTCCTTACATAAGTATCACCTGCTACCTGCAAGCACAACCCCTTCATGAACTGATGAGACTGGGATCAGAAGGTGCAATGAAAGACTTGTGACTGCTGTGCAGGACTGAGCTCCTTCGCACTGCTTCCTCAACTCCGTGAGCACCCAAAAGCAACAGATCAGCAGGAACAGATGGAGATTTAACTTACTCACTTTATGATAGCATTTATGATGCCCAAGTTGGTTCTGACCGCCTATGAGTAACATGCACTATTTATTTTTTGGACCTAGATCTTAATTTTTAAATAAACTCTCACGATTTTCTGGATCTTTTCTATTCTTCAGACTTCATCAACCAAAAGGCAGATGTATGAGAGAACTGCGACTTTACCTCCCCTCTCACTTGACAGCTTACTGATAGGTGACTTTATCACTGTAAGGCCCATTTTATTCCAAGGTATTTTAATAAAGCTGTTAATTTTCAGAGTGTTGGCATGAATTTGAAACCTATAGCATTATGTATACAGTAGCATATATACCTTTATAATCACACATAACTTCCCTTATAAAAAAAAAAAGATTAAATGCCTAATGCAGTGTTGGGAAATCAGGTTGTTAGATACACTTAATGGTTTCTTAATGACTTAAAAGTCAGCTTTCCATACATATAAACCAGCTTTATTAACTTATAATGAACACTACGAAAACAATTGTCAGTCTTTTAATTCACAGGTCTATGCAATGAAGCACTTAAATGTCAAAGGTCTGAAATTTCCTTTGGAAAATAATGTGTAAATTAAAAGACATGATTACGTCTAAAATGCCTTATAACAAAAAGAAAAACAATTATTTAATGTGCAATTGTGTTTTGTAAAAGAAAATAGTAAAACTGGCTAGGATTCAAACCACCAAAACCCTCTCATTTGGTGAGCTAAACTCAGTCAAACACAAATAGAGAGAAATGAAATTATAAACTATGAGATGGAAGTCATTTAAAACAACAAAAAAAAAAACTACTAAAGACAAGTTCTGGGATCAATACACAATCAAAACATAATTAACCACCAATTCTCCCTATAGAGGTTCAATGATAGTGGACATATCGAACAATGACCCTGGAATAGGAAATCAAAGATTTTACTCTGCTTAAACTCTCTCTATATTAACATACTGTGATATTTCAAAAAGATTAACTATAAGGGCTCAAATCTAGATGTTTTCCAAGCATTCTGTTTTCCAAGCATTAAATATTGTAAGAAACATTACCTCTGTGTTAGTATAGTAAGTGTTCCAGGAAGAACGAAGAGATTCTTGGCCACCAATATCCCACATTAGGAAACGTGTATTATTAATCACTATCTCTTCTACATTACTTCCTATTGTAGGAGATGTATGTACAACTTCATTCATAGAACTAGGGGAAAAAATTTATATATATTTTACAATTAGCACGGAAGCTAACTTGCTTGAACAATTTTTTAATCAAGGACAAATCAGCATAAACTTTTATAATTTATACCTAAATATCTTTTTCCCACTAGTTTACAACATGAGTGAGGGTTTAAACAGGGCTAGAACTAGGTCTTAGGCTATCTGGCATATACTAGATCATTCCAGGAAACTATAAAAACAAATATTTTTCTACTTTCTTTTTTTAAATGTTACCCAGGCCAGAGTGCAGTGGCATGATCATACATAATCAGTGGCATGAGGTTCACTGCAGCCTTGACCTCCTCAATAGGATCAAGCAATCTTCCCACCTCAGTCTCCTGAGTAGCTGGAACTACAGGTGTGCACCACTACATCCAGCTAATTTTAAAATATATGTATATATATATATATCTTATAAAGAGATGGCATACCACTACGTGGCCCAAGCAGTTTCTCAAAGTCCTGGCTTTAAGCAATCCTCCCACCTCTGCCACCCGAAGTGTTGGGATAAAGGCATGAGCCACTGCACCCGGCCATATTTTTCTACTTTCTACAAACAAAAGAGTTTTAGTACAAAACAAGCGGACAACTCAATGCCAACTATATGCTCAATATCATACAAATTTTTTGCTTTCTACAAAGTATTGCTGAGATTTGGCTCCAGGTTTATAGTCAACCTGCTTTCTTACAGGGTAACTTAGGTTTCATGTAATTTCTTACTGCATTCATTGATCGAATATCACCCAGGCCAAAAAAGTAACTAGAAATAAAATAATTTTTAAGACAGTTAATACTTACAATTGGTAAAGAATGGTAGTTTTCCCTGCATTATCCAGCCCAACAATGATAACTTTGTGCTCTGAAATAGAGAAAACACCAGTGATTTTTTCTTCAAAAAAGGAGAAAAAAGATTAATTCGATTATAGACAAAAATAAATTCCGTATTTCACCCTTCTATCTATGGCATAATTCAGTGCATGGCACTTTATACTTTCTTGGAAGTCAAAAGAACATCCTAGCAAGACCACCAGAAGTGTGCCATTATACTCACCTTCCCCATTGCCATTATTCTAGAGACAACTCTCATCTTTCCAACCTCCTCTCTAGGAAGTCACAGCACTACATTTCCTCTACTCCTAGGCAAGCCTACTCTCAGTAAAGTAAACCAAATATAATCACAACGATCTACAAATGACTTAAAGTATAAATGTTTCACAATGGATTACGTCAATGAGGTTCTAACAGGAAATTCAGGCATCAACTGGGTACGTGTATGTGGAGTGGAATGAGTGGGAAGGAAAAAAGGACCATTTTTTAAATGGGTAATTGTAATTTATGAGTACCTTAAAACCACAGGGCCACTGTAACATGAAAAACAAATCTAAGAACCTATGGCTATGGTGGCAGTGACTCCCTCCCCCCGTTTGGCTTCTGTGGCACCACTTTCTCCAACTTTTCTTCCTGTCTCTAGTCATTCATTTTTTTTCAATGACTCCTCTTCCTTGGGTCTTCTTTCAAACATTCACGTTCCCCAGATGTTTTCTTGCACCCTCTTCACATTTCAGCCAGGCCCTTGTAAGACCCATCTATTTCCAGGCCGTCTGAAAGCAATCCGCAAAGACAGCACAGCATGTGGAAGAAACTAGTGTCCAAGATGGCCTCTGGATAGTCATGCCATTATGTAGCCGCCTCCTCTTGAATCTGGGCTGGCCCTGTGACTTACTTTTAACCCACAGATGCAACAGAAATGACCAGGCATGATTTCTGAGCCTAAATCATCAGAAACATTGCAGTTGCTGCCTGGCCGTCTTGGACAAGTCCTCCTACGGTAAGTCAGATACCATATAGCAAGTCCAAGACTGCTGTGCCTTTTAATGAGTAAGCCCAAGTTGATCATGTGGTGAGACCCTGTTGAAAGGGATGACCAGTCAGTCCCTATCTCTTCCAGCCATTCTAGTTGAGATGACAGACAAGTAAAGAAGCCATCTTGGCTATGCAGCCTGGTTGAACCTACAGAGTATTCTAATTTTAGCTGCTATCTGACTGCAACCAAAGGAGACTCCCCAAGGTAGAACTTCCTAGCTGAGCTCAGCCGACTCATAAGAAACATGAAAAATAATAAATCATTGCTTTAAGTCATAAAATTAGAGTGGCTTACTACATAGAAACAGATAATTGAAGGAAATATTAATGGTATTATAAGACCTTGAGCAAATGACTTTTATTATTTCTCTGACCTTAAGTTTCTTCATTGTAAGATAGGGGAAATACTACCTATCACTCAGGGTTGTTTAACAATTAAAATAGCACACAGCAGTGCCTAGCACTGAAGAGGAGAGAGTTCTTAACCTGTTTTACCAGCCCAGGAAAAGATAAAAATTTACTAGAAACTGTACTTCAAATTTTGAATTTTGATCTTTTCCAAGGCTAGTGATATCCAGTACGACACTCTCAAGACACTGGGCAGTAGCAGCGAGCTGCAGCTCCCAGTCAGCCATGCAATAACAAGGGTAAACAACCAGTACTGCATAATAGTATATACTGTGCTATCAGACGGTTTTGCCCAACTGGAGGCTAACGTCAGTGTGCTGAGCACATTTAAGGCAGGCTAGGCTAAGCTATGATGTTCAGTAGGTTAGATGTAATAAATGTGTTTTGACTTCAGTTACTTTCAACTTACAACAAGTTTACTGACACATAACTACATCATAAGTTGAAGGGCATCTATAAACTAAAGTTCAAGTCATTCTCCCTACATAAGCTGCACATATCTTCACAGCAAACATTTCTCTACAGCTACTCGTGGTATCACCAAATGCTGGAATTATCCTAATTATCCATTTAGGGAATTAGACCAATCCTTTAAAGTCTAGCTTTCCATGTAGAATCAATTTCTCCTGCTTTCCCACACTACCTCTAACCTACCACTTATCCTAATTATTTACATGTGCACTAATCTCAGTTTAAGAAGGCATCTTCAACCATATAGAATACATATTAATCATCTTTACATTTCTAGTGACAACAACTATTCCTGGCATAAAGAAAGTACTCAATAAATGTTGAATTAATATTCATTCTATAAGTAATAAATGTTGAGGATTATAACACCTCAGAGTAAGATCTTTATAATTCAAATGGTAGATGTTTTCCAAATAGTTGCCACTTACCAGAGGAAATTCCTAATGATCTATAGGCACCTGCTATTATACAAAAATAGGAAGATCAAGTAAATAAAACATTTTAATACAATCCACTAGGGTCCTTAAATGACATGACCACCTGTCCCTTTTGTGAGTTATTAAGAATCATTTTAAAGACCTAGGGCCCAGGCCGGATTGGTGGCCCACGCCTGTAATCCCAGCACTTTGGGAGGCTGAGGTGTCGGGTGGATCACCTGAGGTCAGGAGTTCACAACCAACATGACCAACATGGTGAAACTCCATCTCTACTAAAAATACAAAATTAGCGGGGCGTGGTGGCACATACCTATAATCCCAGCTACTTGGGAGGCGGAGGCAGGAGAATCGCTTGAACCCAGGAGGCGGGGGTTGCACTAAGCCAAGATCATGCCATTACACTCCAGCCTGGGCAACAAGAGTAAAACTCCGTCTATGGCCCTTAGTCTCCCAGATCCACAAACAATTCTGCTACTATCCCAGAATAGACAGGACTCAGAGAGGGCAATTCATGGAAATGACTAAGACATAAATAAGAACAGTGAATGAGTAACATACAATAAGACCAAATGTTTAAAAATGAGAGACAAGTGCAGTCTATCCCTGAGGAAATGTTACATGGTGGCTGAATTAAAATCAGATGATTACTTGGGGAGCATGGAATCCCAACCCAAGGAGTGTTACAGGCTGCAATGACTGATGTGAATCCTTTTTTTTTTTTTTTGAGACAAGGTCTCACTCTTGTTGTCCAGGGTGGATTGCAGTATCACAATCATGGCTCACTGTTGCCTCAACCTCCCGGGCTCAAGCGATCCACCCACCTCAGCCTCCTGAGTAGCTGGGATCACAGGTGTGCACCACCACGCCTGGATATTTTGTTTCTTTTGTAGAGATAGGGTGTCCCTATGTTGCCCAGGCCTGTCTCAGACTCCTGGGCTCAAGCGATCCTCCCACCCCAGCCTCAAAAAGTGCTAGGATTACAGGTGTGAGCCCCTGTACCTGGCCTGAATTCATCTTTAGAGCAAGGCCACACCTGCATGAGGGCAAGGTAATCGAGTTGTTGAGAAAAAGTACCTTTGCACCTACAAAGTTTTTAAATAGCATGGCAATTCTGCCTAACTCCATTTTTCTATGTCCCAAAATTAAGCATTCCCTTTCTGATGACATAACTCCTCTACAGTTTTATTAATACAAGCACTCATAAACATTTTTAATACAACTAGAATTCATTATCAAGCTATACTCTGATCTTTGACTTGGGTAAAAGTTTTTAGCTTCCCAGGTGAATACTGATTTTTAACCATAGCATTCTCAAAATGTCAGATTTTTTTTTTTTTTTTTTTTGAGACGGAGTCTCGCTCTGTCGCCCAGGCTGGAGTGCAGTGGCCACACTGCAAGCTCTGCCTCCAGGGTTTACGCCATTCTCCCGCCTCAGCCTCCCGAGTAGCTGGGACTACAGGCGTCCACCACCTCGCCTGGCTAGTTTTTTGTATTTTTTAGTAGAGACGGGGTTTCACTGTGTTAGCCGGGATGGTCTCGATCTCCTGACCTCGTGATCCGCCCGTCTCGGCCTCCCAAAGTGCTGGGATTACAGGCTTGAGCCACCGTGCCCGGCCAAAATGTCAGCTTATTTTTAAGTTCCAGGAATATATCCCACCCCGCCTCCTCTCCATTTCCCCAATGTATTAGCTACAGGCCAGAATTTAGATGGGCTTGTCAACACTCAGGAAGAAAATACAATTACTCCGACAAATAAAAGAAATGGTACCCTAAAAATAGTACAAAATTAGCAGGAAAAGTCCAAAAGGAAACAAAAATATAGGCAAGAATCTATAATATATAACAATAAAGAATGAGTAAAAAATGTATATATGTATAAATAAGGTACACAGAGACCATGAAGTAAAAAACAGTACTCTCTTAGTTTCTTACAAGGTCCTTAATCAGTTAAGGTTAAACCCTTATTCCAACCACGTTACCATTTTTTCAAAATAGTTTGCTACGCTTCTTTCATAACTGCTTTCAGAGCCTGAGGTACACCATTTTGAATACTGTCACCTAATGGTGGCAAATCTTTTAAACTCTGAAGATGAACTTGACTTTAAAGTGGGAGATGAGCCACCTGATACCATCTTGGTCATAAGTTAAAAGGTATCTAAAATGAGTGCTATCTTTTTGTTGTTAAGTGAAATATGAAGAATTATTTAAAATTTTGTTTCCAAAGAACTTCTAAAAGGAGTTTCAAAGGATACACTGAATAACAGTAGGACATATCAGTGAAAAAACTATATAGCCTCCTAAAATGAGAGCTTTAAAGTAAAACCTCATCTGGCTTTAGTACAGGTATTTTTTAAAGTGGTCTCCTTACTTCAGCCATGTCCCTAGGACTTGGTTATTACGTCCTAATTCCAAACCTGGTGCTTTCTAACAGTTCTGTTAGGAAAAACTAGCTTGGCGAAAACTACTAAAAGAAAAAAAAAAGAGACTCTTAGGCTGGGCGTGGTGGCTCACACCTGTAATCCCAGCACTCTGGGAGGCCGAGGCAGGTGGACCACAAGGTCAGGAGTACAAGACCACCCTGGCCAAGGTGGTGAAACCCCATCTCCACTAAAAATACAAAAAAATGAGCCAGGCCTGGTGGCGCGTGCCTATAGTCCCAGCTACTTGGAAGGCTGAGGCA